GACGATGTACAGCTAAACTAAAACTTGCTGTGTTATCTGGGTGTCAGACGTTTCGCCCCAAATTTTATTCATATCGTCCTAAAAAACCATAACGTCCCAAATAGTTCGTCTCAAAAAAAACATAACGCCCAAACACTAGTTCGCCCTAAAAATATATAACGCCCCCCCCCCCCCCCTCCAAAAAAAGGGAGCTTGCTTATTTTCCCAGGAAATTCGTAGTCAAATAATTATGTGATTGTGTTTACCGTGCTAAGGGGAACAACTCTTGTGAAACCCGATATTTAGATAAGAGCATTGAATATTAATCTTTTGATTACCAGTCCTAGAAGGCCAAAACAGCTGTATGGCGCAATGGAATTCATTTTTTGGACAAGCTCAATCAAGAAGTGGTTTTTTTTAGCAACAGTGACCTTGACCTCTGGTGGACCTTGCATCGTGTGTGCATCCGTTTCTCACCTACACAGAAAGTTTGAGTTCTGTATGATGAATTGTTCTCAAGTTATCATCTGGTCAAGCACAACTTAGACAGAAGACACACACACCAATGATGGCTATATCCTCTCCCTACACACATTTTTTAGGGGGATTAAAACTAAATCTGTCAATGTAAAACTGCTTTGTTACATCTAACCAAGTATGTATCACCCTCCTCTGTAAAAGTATAGGAAAGTGACCAATGCAGCCTTTGTACTTTCATCCTCTTCAGGTCAATGTCTCACAAGAACACAACAATATATTGGTACGAGTAAATATTGCAATATAAACAAGTCCAACAATAAGTAAACATACAAAGTTATTTATTGATCTCCAAACCCGTTCATATATTAATATATGTCAATACAAGACATCAATGGATTGTATATTGTATTAAAGCCGTATTATAAAGTAATGGTTACGATGATGCCAGAAATATGCTGCAACAGATTCAGCCTGTTCTCGCGGTATTATTATTAAATAAATGATATGCGAGAACAAAACTGATGTTCATGGACAGACTCTTAATTCCCTAACAGAATTCACTTATATTTATATCTTCACATTTACAGAAAATATTGGTTCACAGTACTATTTATTTAATAAAGTAGGACTTTTGGTAATGGTTCCTGTTTTACAGGTTACAAATAAAAATCTGTGAATATTGGTTATTCATAAAACTCCTAATGAAACTTATTGATCTTATCTATTTTGTAATAAAACATATGGCACTAATACACACAATTATTTATCACATACATCTGTACGAGACAATTTTACAATGGACAGAAGTTACAAAGAGTTAAATATTTGAAAAAATACCAGATTTAAACAAAAATGTTGAAATCATTATCAAGAATAGAATCTGAGACAAATTTAGGAAACTTGCAGCATGAACAAATTGAATTTTTTTTTGAAGCCACCATATTCATAGGCAGCATCTATTTAACTCTTCCACCCACTGAAGACACATTTGAACTCTTCCAATTCAAAGGTTGGAATAGTTCATTGTGAAATTTCAGGAGTGAATCAGTTAAATCCATCAATTGCTTCAAATGTTTGTCAATGGAAGAATGAAATATTTCTGAAGAAACATGTAGAACATCTCATCATTCAAGAAAAATACTCAATTATTTATAAAAAAATCTTATCAAAATCACACTGTCTTACATATGATTTTAATACATCTTATTTTTAAGTTTCTGACATTCTCCAGCTAGGTTTCATGTATATAAACTGTTGTAGTGATGCTTCGAAAGAAATTAGGCATGCTAATATTGACCTACATTCAAAACACATGATGAAGGCATCGTTCTGTATCATTTGAAAAACTCTAGGTTTAAGGCTCAACGTCCGTTAGTCACATGTAGAATAGTCTGTTGGCACCAGGTGAAGAGACTAGAGGAGGCGAGATGTAGGGATGAGATTCCTGATGTGAGGGCTTTCTGAACACTGTCCGGTGTATAGTCGCTTCTGAAGACAAAAAAACAATGCAAAGACTTAGTATTTGACTGTCAGAGAAAAGAATTTCTCTTTTGCATCTTTTTATATATGTGAAGTAATAAACTGTTATAAATGATATCACTGCTTATTAGATAACAGTCCTGAAATCTACCAGTCTACCAGATAAAATTATTATCTACTATTCTACCTTATTAGGTAACAGTCCTGAAATCTACCAGTATATCAGGTAATAGTATTATCTACTATTCTACCTTATTAGGTAACATTCCTGAAATCTACCAGTCTACCAGGTAATAGTATTATCTACTATTCTACCTATTAACAATTCTACCATTTCATCCATCAACTAATCTTAATATCTAATATTCCATCCTAACATTGACCAGTCCATCTTTCAATTAAGAAACCTTATGATCCATTTAGTACCAAATGGTCCATAAAACTGTCTAATATTCTGCTTACAAATACACTTCCTAGAATACTTAAAGATCATCTTGTGCAATTAATGTGTACGTATATCTGGTTCAACCAGTTTGTCTGTTTTTAAATGTAACATTTTAGGGTATAAATCCTGACGGACCTACAAAGGATGATACAGGCCTTGCAAGGCTTTGTCAAAGCTCACCTAAAAGCAGCATCAGATTACTAAGTCCAACCCTATTTCATAAACAAACAACTCTGGTCCAACCGGTTCAACCCGCTTGGAGAGCAATAAATGAACGTGGCCTACATGAAGTGTACAGGAAGGGATATAATTCTTGGGGGGAAAAGGTTGTACATGGAATAATAAAGATAAGATTTGCAACTACATGGTGGACTGACCATGCTTGTACAGTTTTGTTGAAATCAGCCTGTCTTGAGGTTGGTACACAGACAAGATGATTCTAGTATACCAACCCCGACCTCTCCTTCCTCAACTTCATCACAGTTATATATACCACCAGTAAATATGTATCAGCGTATATGTACAGGTACTTACAAAATAATATTTTCTTCCACCCAATGATAGGCGAGATAAAGAAGGTTGGCCATTTGGCCACATATCCAGAAGGAGTAATCCCGAAAGAAATCCCAGGATAACCAGACATAGTTCCATAGTTGTGTCCACAGGTCCGGTGACAGTTCGTGTATCTGTTAACAGACACAACAGGATAGTTATATATCATTACAATGACACAGCAAACAACCAAAACAGTCAGAGAACATTGGTTATATAATGACATACAGCGAACAAGCTATACATCACAAATTTTACCAATCAGGTAACACTGAGTTGCAGTAGTTTAAGTAAATTCGTTGTAGAAATGATAAGGGGAGATAAGTTAGAAATTTAATTAAAGATGGTAAAAGACATTGTTCCTGCTGACAAAAATCTATGTAGATTGCTAATCACATAGAATTTTAAACCTTGACGATAAGGTTTGATTAAAGAAACAGTTTTTTGATGACTTCTAATTTTGTGGCTCTGTTGATAGGAAGTCAAAGACAATTTTGTCTGATGTAAAGACAATTAAACAGCAGAACTATACAACAGTCCTTCATGGTGGAGGTACATAGCAGCAATTCTATAAAATGAAAGGTGATGTGCCACTTCCTTCTATATCTTTATGTAGTTTTGAGGTCAAAAAAATCTGAAGAGGCAAATATTTTGATAGCTCTAATCTGCAGTGATCAGATTTTCAACCCTTATGCAGCCTAAACATTGTTGACAAATTTGAGCGAGGCCCAGTCTACAGAGAGCGGAATATTACACTTCACCTAGTCTGAACAATTTGATAGCTTTAATGAGACTCAAAGTCTAAAGGGGGCAGAATATTGGCCCTTGCAAGTCGAATGAAGCCGAGTATTAATATAATCTGGTCTAAACATTGTGTTACTTTAACAAGGCTAACAAAATAGAGGGATTAGAATATCAGTTCTTACCCAGTCTGAACACTGTGGTAGTTGAATTGAGGAAGATTCTAAATAGAGATGAGTGTTAACTCTAACCTGGTCTAAACACCAAGATAACTTTAACAAGGATAATTAAGTAAAGGGAACAGAATATCAGTTCCTACCCAGTCTAAACACTGTGGTAGTTAAATTGAGGAAGATTCTAAACAGAGTAGAGTGTTAACTCTAACCTGGTCTAAACACCAAGATAACTTTAACAAGGATAATTAAGTAAAGGGAACGGAATATCAGTTCCTACCCAGTCTAAACACTGTGGTAGTTAAATTGAGGAAGATTCTAAACAGAGTAGAGTGTTAACTCTAACCTGGTCTNAATAATTAAGTAAAGGGAACGGAATATCAGAATATCAGTCCTTACCCAGTCTAAAAATCGTGGTAGTTGAATTGAGGAAGATTCTAAACAGAGCAGAGTGTTAATTATAATCTGGTCTAAATACCGAGATAACTTTAACAAGGATAATTTAGTAAAGAAAACAGAATATCAGTTCTTACCCAGTCTAAACATTGTGATAACTTTAACGAGGCCCACAATCTGAATGGAGCTGAGAACTCAAGGAATTGGTTCCAAAACTGCAGTAAGCGGGTCCAAGCCTGCCACATGAAAGGGCCCACTGATGCCTGCACCTTACCGTAGTACAGTGGCACATTGACGCACACCCACCTGTAGGCAAAATACAAAAAAAAATTCTTAATCAAATAAACAATTAAACTATCACAATTTGTGTATTTTGTAATATAGTCCTTATGTTGGTTTTGGAGCAGTATGTGTTTCTGAGCAGCCATTTAAAAATAACAGTTTCCAGTTGGTAGTTGTGGATTTTCATTTCCATTTCATAGTTTATAGATGTGTCAATCGCAGTGCTGGCTGATTTAAACAGATTCAACAGAAATGACAGTAAAATTCAATGTTTCTTGAGGACACTGAAATGGATACTGAATCTTCCATTGCTTCATTTGTCTCTTTGCTTACAAAAACTGAATAGTGTACACTTGATAGAAAGAATTCAATGAAAGAAACTTAATTCATGTGTGATGATTAAAATAATTGTACATTTGAATTTTATTTATATGTACAATTGCAATGATTCCTATGTCAAATTACGGTTTTGATCTTATCACATCGAAATTGTTGCTTCATTAGCATAAGTAATGAAGATATATTGGTACAAACAGACTTCACTGTTACTTTAACTGACACTGTATGCTACATATGTATAGAATTAATGTATTACACATAACTGTATACATACCCATATGCCATGGAAGTATACAGGTGAACCCGTCCCCAGACCTGTTCTGTAAATCCCAAGATTCCATAATCCTCCAGAAATTGCATGGTCCGGGACGCTACAATATTGTCACATATATATCACGTTCAAATTATAGTTTCATATTCAATCCTTTTCGGTAATGCTGACCTAAAACAGTCATATTGGTTAACATCTTATACGCTTAAACATTTACAGACTGTTTACAACTTGCTGGAAGTTATGAATTCCACATTAGCTTTTCATGAAATTACCACTTGTATTTGATGTGGAAGAAAAATATTCATCCCCCTCTTTAGGAGCAAGGCAGAAAAACCTCAACCCTCAGGGTAAGATCCTTAAATGTCTGTCCTCAGAAAAGCTTTGGGCTAGACATGTAAGAGTCTTTGCCCTTGGGTCGGGATTTTTCTGTCTTACCCCCAAGGTGGGGAAAGATTAAAAAAAAAAAATCACTACATGTATGTTCATTTCTTAATTTCATTATCACAACAGAGTTCAACATGATCTATACATAAACAGGACATGCTAAGATCTGTTTCCATGCAGGATCTCAGTAATACTTACCCTTAATGGAAGAGCTGAAGTAAATGTCATAGGCAACAATTGCGGTTACCAAGGAAACAAAGAAAAACATCAGCCATCCCCATGGAAACCGAGCCTGATCCAATTTCTGTTGAAGTTCCTGTTAATGTTAAAAATAATATCAAACATAAGCTATTTTTTTATCTATTTATACCAACATTCAAATATGTGATAAGTGCAAAGTATTTTATAATCAGTAAGGTACACAGACTACAACCAAAACTGATTAAAGGGAGATAAGTCAGAGTGATGGTTACCTTGCACACGATAGAGCATTGTTCCAGTCCTTCTATGCTTGATTTGCCTTTTGAGGCCAGTTCATCATTGGTGATGGAGAAAGAACGAAGGGTTTTCTTTAGTAGCTTCTTGTCCAATGTTTTGCTGGAGGTATTCCAGGTATCAAGCAAGTGCTGCATTAACATGCTAAGGAGGAAAAAAAACCAGGAATCAAAACTTTTAAACGCTCTATTCATATTTACATATATATTCTGATGAAAAATTTAATGTAAACAGCATTTTAAAATTTTCAAAATATGAAGCTGTGAACTTGTCAGTATTACCTTGACTGCTGAATGTACTTGGTGTACATCTGGACCCACACACTGTAACACTGCTCATCTGAGGACAGACAGTATGCCAGGCTCGACATCAGCTACAACAAACATCAACAAATCGTATAAAAATAACCTTGAAGGAGAACAGACAGTTGGAAAGCCGTAACTAAATCAGCTTAACCACACATCACACTGTGAGCACTTACATAGAAGTGAATAAAAACAAACAGCAAACTCTACAAAAGTGTTCCGATTATACTGGACTCAAGAAGATTCAAGATTAAGGGAGTGAGAGGCCGGATATTAAATAACCTAGTCAAAATATGAACGAGAGAGTGACACAGCGACATGCAACATTACCATACTCACACTACTAGTTAATCCAAAATGAGCTGGGATTTTTAACAGGTATTTCATATACAGATCTGACCTTTATAGACAGGATTTGCTATACAGAGGTGTTCAATATACTGGTACATGTTAAACATATGTGACCTTTATAGAAAGCTACATGCTTTAAAGCTGACCTTTTTATTGATATGCATAGCATATGCTATACAGAGGTGGTCTTTATAGACAGGTATATGCTAAACAGAGGTGGCCTTTATAGACAGGTGTATGATATACAAGGGTGGCTTTTATAGATAGGTGTATGATATAGAGATGGTCTTTATTGACAGGTGTTTGATTTACAGAGGTGGCCTTTATAGACAGATGAATGTTATACAGAGGTGGTCTTTATAGACAGGTGTATGTTATATAAAGTTGATCTTTATAGACAGATGTATGATAAACAGAGGTGGCCTTTTCAGACAGGTGTATGCTATACAGCAGTGGTCTTTACAGACAGGTGTATGCTATATAGAGTTGGTCTTTACAGACAGATGTATGATATACAGAGGTGGCCTTTACAGACAGGTGTATGATATACAGAGGTGGTCTTTACAGACAGGTGTATGCTTGATTGATTGATTGATTGATAGATAGGTTTTTTGTCCGCTTCACTACCGAGTTCGGTTATCCAGCAGACCAGGTGTATGCTATAAGAGTTGGTCTTTATAGACAGATGTATGATATACAGAGGTGGTCTTTACAGACAGGTGTATGCTATACAGATGTGGCTTTTATTGCGGGTTTGCCTGTATCACATTGTTATACATGCCAGATGTCGGATAGGATTTCCAGCCTGTGTGAGGAGTTCAAACTTACCTCAGTCATCATCAGACGAGAAGTGCTGGTAGTAACCCTGGTCAGGTAGGACGGGAACAGGTTTCTCATGTTAGCTGTAGTGCCGCCGTACACAATCATCTGTAAGACATAGACAAGGTGTTGGTAATACCGATATTCACATTTTATGTATCTCTCCTTTTCATCATACATCTTTCTGGTTATCTTAATCACATTACAAACAATATCAAAATGATGACGAGAAGTATTTCACCCTAGAAACGGAAAAGACACCTATATAAACAACAACATCTTCAGCAAGGTTATATACAGCTGCTGGACATTTCTGTGTAGGTAACTTGAACATGTGTTCCTTCATGTCTATGAAACCCAGATCAACTCCAAGGTATACAGTTGACCATGTGTTTTACCTTGATGTCTGGGTAGATTGTCTGAAGCTTTCTACTCAGGTCCCCAGGCATCTGACGGTCCCCAAATATGAGATCCAGCAGGTAGAAGTACTCCCGGACAGTGATGACTCCATACACAGAGCTCAGGGTCTTCTTATCCCTACAACAAAATGCTATAATTTAACCACCACTCCATAAACAGAGCTCAGGGTCTTCTTATCCCTACAACAAAATCTAACAATTTAACCACCACTCCATACACATAGCTCAGGTCCTTCTTATCCCTACAACAAAATTAACAATTTAACCACCACTCCATACCCAGAGCTCAGGTTCTTCTTATCCCTACAACAAAATGTAACAACTTAACCCCCACTCCATACACAGAGCTCAGCTTCTTCTTATCCCTACAACAAAATTAACAATTTAACCACCACTCCACACACAGAGCTCAGGTCCTTCTTATCCCTCCAACAAAATGTTATAATTTAACCAGCACTCCATACACAGAGCTCAGGTTCTTCTTATCCCTACAACAAAATGCTATAATTTAACCACCACTCCATACACATAGCTCAGGTCCTTCTTATCCCTACAACAAAATTAACAATTTAAACAACACTCCATACACAGAGCTCAGGGGCATCTTATCCCTACAACAAAATGTTCTAATTTAACCACCCCCCCATACACAGAGCTCAGGTTCTTCTTATCCCTACAACAAAATCTAACAATTTAACCACCACTCCATACACAGAGCTCAGGACCTTCTTATCCCTACAACAAAATTAACAATTTAACCACCACTCCATACCCAGAGCTCAGGTTCTTCTTATCCCTACAACAAAATCTAACAATTTAACCACCACTCCATACACAGATCTCAGGTCCTTCTTATCCCTACAACAAAATTAACAATTTAACCACCACTCCATACACAGAGCTCAGGACCTTCTTATCCCTACAACAAAATTAACAATTTAAACAACACTCCATACACAGAGCTCAGGGTCTTCTTATCCCTACAACAAAATCTAACAATTTAACCACCACTCCATACACATAGCTCAGGTCCTTCTTATCCCTACAACAAAATGTTATAATTTAACCACCACTCCATACACAGAGCTCAGGGTCATCTTATCCCTACAACAAAATGTTATAATTTAACAACCACTCCAATTATAGGTACCGGTATGTGTACGCTGTCTCAGGTATGAAGAAGCGAAAGGTCTATATGGCTAATTTGCTTATTTCAGAAAATTTCATATAGATTATCAAAAAAATAACGCAAACTGAAATAATTGTTAACTGGAAAACGCTTGTATGCTTCAGATTCAAACCACTGAATGTTAAGATTTCTACAACAAAATGTACAACATCATATAAGGAATGAGCAGCGTTTTTTGGTTTTTTTTTATGCGATATGAATGCAAATCGGTTACACCCATATAGTTTAATTTATTTGTTCTAAAATAATCAATGCATTTACTGCATTTTGTATATGCGTCGTCCTTCAAACGCAATGGCGAAACAGCCTTATTTAAATCAAATTGGCGCCAATAATTAACCGTAGTCATTTGAACTTTTGACGCAGGGGCATTCTCCATGTTATCCCAATCAAAGCGACAAGACTCATTGAACAAGGTTAATATATGACGTCATAAGTAAACCATGTGTTACGTCACGAGAGTTTATGCATTCATACTCGAATGAAATGCATTTCTGCTGGTAATGTTCATATTGTGGGTTGCTGCGCAAATGTAAATATATATAAACATGATGTAAGTCTTCACCATCTGATGGTAGTGCCAGCCCTTCACTTACTCTAGCAGCTCCTCCAGGTAGTCCACACAATAGTTGGCTACTGGTCGCACCTTCAGGGTCGGCTGCATCACTTCAATCCACACTGGAACACAATACAAGTCAGTTATACTTCCAACATGTAATACAACACTCACCAATTAATATTACAATTACCACTGCTTTTAAGTGCATTCCCCAAAATGTCCACCTGAGTGTTTAATAACAACTGTGAAACATGTTTTAGCATCTTACATCAAATTTTTTCTGCAAGGTCTGGATGGAAGAGCACTGGTGTTTTAAGGTGGAAGGACACTAGGAGAAATCTGGTGCGAGTCCAGCAGGCAACCACGTAAAAATTTGGACTTTTTAAAAGGTCTTATCACCACCTTTGTGGCAATATTCCCGATATAGGAATCAAACCCCAGCCATCTTGGTGAAACATGAATGACATTCCACCTTACCACCATAGCATTTGAGAGAAATTAATTTACAACTACCGACCAACACAGTGCTTTACTTGATCCTGTGTTTTTTTATGGACAGTAATACATAGTAACTTGCCTTCATGCTGCTTTTTCTGAAGTTGTTGTTAGGAGAATGGAATATTGTGCAGTGATATTTATTTTCAAATATATGAGTGAACAAAACAATTGTACTTGTAATTTAAGAATTCAGTGATTTCAATGTATTTCAAGTTATATTGATGTGGATATAGAGGCAGCAATGCCTGCATCTACTAATATACTATTCAATCCTACTAAATTGATATTCAGCACTGGTATTATGTCATTAAAGGGGCATCACGGTGAAGTAACTTTATTTTTTGTCTTTTTTTCAAATACTACATAAACATATCAAGTGAGACTCCTTATGGAAAATAACAATCGGATTTGGCTGAAATAGATTCATAAAAATGATTAAATCTGAGAAAATCATCGGTATTTCTACCTGTCTGACCAACGTTTTGTTCAGGGATTTCCCTCTACCAGCGCATGCGCATAGCACTCCATTTCTTTGTAAACAAAATGACTCGCCGTGTGAAGTAAGCGAAAGAAAAGTGTTGTACCGTGTCAGCTACGCAACGAAAAGTTGCCAAATGGTCAAAAGATAGCGCAAGGAGTACGTTACGGAATCATTATTGCAGGTGGGCAGTATTCAAAGGAGAAAATAACTGCCGTAGCAGTTAGTACGGTGCATGTATTCTTCCGGATAGCCGGTTAAGCTGAAATGGAATCGACAGAAATGCTGGCGCTGTTTATGTTATGAATAATTATCTAAAACTATTAAGCTCGCTAGTATCTTTGTAACAGTTTGAACACAGATAAACTTAGTTCAGTATGGTAATGGGCATGTATTGGAGAGAGTTTACAGTGGTTTATGCGAAAGGAAGGGATAAGTGACTGGTTAGTTTGATTTTGCCATGAGGCCTTCCAAGGGATAACTGTTGTGATGGCCCACGGCGTATTTTCTGGGTCACCGAGATACGTGTTATCTAAGTCCGTGTATTTACATAATTAATAATATTACCGGGTTCAATGAAATAGTTTGATTTTATTATATTGCTGAATTAAACGATTATTTTTGTTGTTACATGCAAGATTTAAATTAGTACTTATATGAATACCCGGCCTCCTCTGCCCCGGCAATATATAAAAAAAAAAATCAGAAAGGTTTGTCCCTTGGTGTAGGGAAGGTGTTTAGCCCCGTAAATTCAATGTATATTTAAATATATCTACTTCATGTTTATGCCTATTATCATTGTTGACATTAAATTGTAAATGTATGACGGGTGAAGGCTGTGATAAGTTGTAAAAACTTGTGCCCCATCCCTTGTTTAATTTTATTGGCAACAAATTTATGTTTAAAGCTACATAAATTTAAATTCTGAACACTGGCAGGTGTGCAATTAACTTCTAATGATGAATAATTACGGTTCAATAAGTTTGAATACGGACTTAGAAATCATATAACTTGGTTTCATAGTGCGGTAAGAGGTTGCAGTTGCCCGACAGCCCCTCTCTGCAGGCCCCTTTGGAAACCGTTTCATCTCGCTCGCACCACTTGTGTTTACTGCCTAGTCAGGTGACGTTATCGGTGCTATTTTTAGCATGGCTTTCCCGAACAATTCAAGTGGTCAAACTGGACATTTGGAACGGACTATGAATATGGGGATAGCGAGGTAACATAAGTGGAAGTGCATACAATACATACATTCATTAAAAAAAAAAAACGCCTTTTCACGTGATGTCCCTTTAAAATGAGGCGGTAAATGGCATACATGCATTGTAATATCAGATGTATTTGAATACAGCAGTCAATTTTATGTTTTGAAATACTTTTTTTTTAACTGTTGACACTTACTTCTCAGTCCACATTTGAGATCAAAGTGACCACACTGCCCTAGTGACCACAGTATTGTCAAGCATCTACTGGACCTGTTCTGGTTGGTCTTCAAGAGCTCCAAAAACTGGAAAATCAAAAATATTTAGAATATGATGCTAAATAACACAAAGCAGCACAAGAAAAGGAAATGTCTCTTGAATTAGTATTTTTCAGCAATACACCTTTAAAATAATTGACTCCATGCTACTGATATTGAAACCTGAACTCTATAGAAGACAATTTCTTCTTTTATTTTTAGCATGCTGTGAAAAAATGCAGATTAATTTCTTTTTGAATTTTGAATTAAGGTAGGTCTGCCCTAAATAATTTGAAACATTAAAAATAATAACTACACTCTGCTTTATTACAATCACATAGAGTACAACAGGTGGATCTTTTAAAATTCTCCCCCCCCCCCCACCCCCAATTTGTTTTGGTTTTCCTCCCATGGAACATGGGTTAAATATGTTTGGTGTTTATAAGATTGATTAATATAACAATTCAAGCATTAGAGATACAAGTGCCTATCAATGTATCAAAATAAATGAAAAATATCAATGCTAACCTGGGGAAGTTTGGACAAGGCGACATCGGGTCTGACTTTAACAAGCAGCTGAATAAAGATACGGTACCCAAGAGTGGAGTGTCCTGTCAACACACACAAAAAAAGAACATGTTTAATTAAAAGTACTCTTATTACTCTTTGACTAGAAAACTTGCCGTCAAACAAATTGAAGTAATGTGTTTTAGCACAAGCATGTGGAAGTATTTAGCTAGGTGGCATAGGACTAATAGTAAGTACCTCCCATTAAAGGTGGCTTCTGCCTCCAATTCCTCCAATTGTATTGATTGTATATGAATTTATGTATTATAAAGCACCACAGAGGGAATTATTCTTACCAGACTTCAATGGCTTGCGATTATGATTCAGCCTTTTTGTCAGATTGATTCAAGCAGTAGCACCTGAAGACCCAATGAGAATCACTTCAAAGGTTGAGACACTTTTACAGAATGCAGGGTCGCGTTCGTTTATCGCGATTCAAACGGTTGAACCAGAGTTGTTTGTTTACGAAATAAGGTCGGACCTAGTAATCTTATGCTACTTTCAGGAGGAGAGCTGTGACAAAACCTTGCAAGGCCTGTATAAACTTTTGCAGGTCTGCCAGCATTTATACCCGAAAATGTTTCATTTAAAAACAGACAAACTAGTTGAATCAGATACATGAAAGCGGCTCTGTATTTTAACAGTTTTCTCTGGAATACTGATAGACGGTATATACGCTATATTTTTTAATCCTATAATACATTAACATACATTTATATGTATGATCTAACATTTCCTTGATCAATATTAACAGCCTTCTGAGACCCTTACCCTTGTTCAGCTCGGTGAGCATGGTGTTGACACAGTGATAGAACATGTGCTCCATGGTGTCCTGGGAAGCCTGCCTGATCACAGCTGTAATTGGTTGTTGACATTTCCGATCAAGGTGGCAGAGAGGAAAATCTGAAATTTATTATTGTTAATTCATTTATCTAATATTTTATATGACATTTCAATATCAAAGGCAGGTTCCCTTAAATGAATGGATAAAAGAAATATAAAATATCTTTTTGTACAAATTACACAAACTCTTTGAAACAGAAATTGTTAATAACGATGGTTTTGAAATTACAAAATACTTAATATAAACATTTCAGTAAAAATATAACTAAGCAATTATGTATCTTGCAATATACAATAATGAATTGTTTAAAAGTAAAAACCCACGAACAAAGTAAAGAAAAATGATTATAATTGTTTGTTGTTAGGCCCACCTTTTGGTTTGTTGGTGAAGACAGGATCGGACTCCGGAACATTTTCCAATTCAAGGTTCAGGAAAGAGGCCAGGTCTTTGAGCCACACCTCCCGGTTGTCAGGGAACCGTGTCTGGGTTAGAGTCAAGGTTGACTTCACATCCTCCTTTGTAATCTGGAAAATAAGTGTTCAGAAAATTCCGATATGTGTTTAACCCATTATTAGAGCTGATACAATTATTGTTATCTTCTGACTTTATTTTTCGTTGTTTTTTTGTCAACAAATCTATAGAAAAAAAATCATTTTAATCGAAGAAATCTTTAATAATGTTTTTTTTTTTAGATGGAAACAAACAAAACTGGAAAAGGAAAAGAATAACTCATTGCAAATGAATATGACGGGGAATACCAATGTACATACCGGGAACATCTAACAAATCTACTACACACAGGTAAAACATACCTCCACTGTAATGTATACTTACTAGTAACATATTTACATAACATAGGTATATTTATCATATGAATACTGTGTTATGCCCTGCCATAAAACTATCACATGAATTATATTTATGTAACGTGTGTAATATCACTCCATAAATGACGTCACAATCGAATAGGAACAATCAATGTGACGTCACTGTGAAGCGGATGCAATTTTCATTGTTTCAGAGACGGCCAAGTGCAAAATATTCGTTTCAGGTCACACTTATACAGTTTACGTTGTATCATATGATAAAAAGAATCTGTCCTAAGTTTCCCTTCATATTAGATTCATGTTACTCGCCAGAGGATCGCAAACATGAAAAATCCAAAATATTTACTTATGCCAGATCCTCTTTATATATATATTGAGTCTGAAGAATCTCCTAGAAGAGATGAAAGTACTAAAGATTCGTTGTTGAGAATTTTTCTTTTTATAATATTTCTTTGTCCGTAAGGATCTTTTTTCTGATTTATAATATATATATATATATAAAAACAAAAGACCAGAGATTCTTCGACTTTCCTAACTTGCTTTCTCCTCTTTAGAGGTTCATCAGGGGAAAATATACATATACCACACCACTGACACAGATACTAGTTAGTAGTTACACTACATTTTAACACATACAGCAGCTATAGCCTCAGCATAGTCCACTTGTTTCTTCTTGTCCTGGTCCGGCTTTCTCTTTTTCGACTGCACAGTTTTCCTGTCACCACCAGCTTTACCGTTTTGGTCCCTGCTAGACGGGGAGGACTTCTCATGGCTTCTGCTAGCTTTTAGCTCCTCCCTCCTTTCCTTTTCCAAAAACGCATCATACATGGTCACAGATTCCTTTAGTGGTTCTGAAAAAATCAAAATACAACAATCAGAGAAGACTTATTTTGATCAGTCTTAATTTATAAATTCCAGCTACCTACCGGTAGTGTCATAGCTTAAAACCCTTATAACTTCAGTTTCAGATCAAAGTTTAGAACATGGAGCACGAGTCCATACGGCAAATGCTTTTGATAACTACTGCAAAATTACTTAAAACACTTTTTCAAAGCTGCAATAACGTATCCCTTTCAGGCTTTGGCTTCCCAATTTTTTTCTAGGAGAAACTGCCTGTATTCCGCTGTCAACTGACACAATATAGTGCCAGTGGAACAACTGCATGAGAAAAATCAGGTTTGTTTTGTCAAGTATTTCACACGTATGTTATGGCCATACACACTGAACGATAATGGACTCTGTTGGAATGTATGTATGAATTGGTTTTGGGTCTGTTGACTTTACATGTAAATGTCTTTGCACCAAGGCCAGGTTTTTCCTACTGACTAGTTCTACATGTTTGTGTAAAACTAACATGGGTGGTTAAGTGGCGCAGTGGATACTGGATAACACATGTACACTTGCACTTCACCAATATGTCTTGATCCGAAGATGATATGGGTATATGTCTATGCATTTCCATGTAAGGTGACAGTACCCAAAACGGATCACCAAACCATCATTTTATTTAATTATTGAAAAATCTGAGGAGGAATTATATTTATTTATGGTTCATTGCTTGTATCAAAGGAAGAATATTGATGGGTGTTCTTGCAAACGAAATTAGCACACTTGAGATATTTATAGAGCATTCTGAAGTAACCAATCAGGGTCTCCGGTATTTGCGAATGTCAAGACCCAAATCGGATCAAGGCTTGAATTTTGCAGTATCTTAGGCCAAAAAAAAAGGTGTCTGTTTAGGGTTCCTGACCGACCCTAGCTTTTTACCCCTGACCCAAAACTTTTTGATAAAAAAACCCACAAAAAAACGCTGATTTTCGAATTTTTTGGAAGGTTCCTTGCCTTTCAAAATGGCTTCCAGCTCCTTGTTGGTGATAAATGTCATCATATGGAGTACAATTTGCCTCCAAATGAACCTTGTTTATGTAATTCTTTGTTTTACATACAATAGTAGGGTCATAATCACATGACCAAAAATATACAAAAACAAAAAACAAAAAATCTGACCTACCTACCCTAGTTTTTTTTGCCAATGCAACCCCAAACAGACTATATATTTTTTTTGGCCTTACGCTTCAAATGAATACTTTTTGTCAGCATATTAACATTTTACGATGACATTTAGAATTTATATGACAAAAAGTATTTGTATAGTGTGAATTTATTCCTATAGTCCAAAACAGAATGCATAGTCATTGCACGCACCATTTTTTTAAAACGTGATCAAAACACTGACATTTGAGTTTGAATTACGTTTTCTTGTGCTATTTGAACATAAAAACTAATCATCTGTAGACAAAAAATGTTGCATGGTCATCTATTATAAGACTAAATCATTGTTATAACTGATTTGCTGACATATTTATTTATAAGTATTTTTGCAAAAAGTTATCCGTTTTAGGTTTATGTCGGTACTTCGGTTTTCTCTTACTTTGTGCCCTACCATCTAACGTTAGACCAACAAGAATGATTTTGCTGGGAAATGCTGTGGCAAATTAACTCATTATGGTTATAAATCAAAAAAAAAAAAAACCCGTTATATTTCAAAAGCTTATATTACCATATGGACCTAAGCAGGTTGGGGACAACGGCATATGGTTAATAATCTGATAAAAGGAGCTGTATTATAATTATTAATATAATTCTCTATCTGTGTTGGTGTTCTAATTCTCATCAAAATGAGAAATTAAAAATCAAGAAAAGTTAATTCAATAAACGATTCAATGGGAAAATGACGTCTACTGCTCAGTAACGTCAGGCTGTGCTGTACATCTCTGTCCTGTGCAATGTGTCACTCCGCACTGAACCGTACAAAAACTTGAAATAATGACATAAATAACACTCATTTTTTTTTTTTTTTACAGAATTTTGTTCATTAAAACACACATTATGAATCACAAATCATATGCAATAACGATACTTATTAATAATAGACCAATAAAACACATGTTGACTGAAGTTGCACAATATAGTGAAAGTAAGTTGATGACGTTGACGAAACTGTCGAAATGCCGGTAGACTAAAGTTTGCAACCGTTCGTATACTCTTTACTTACTGTTTGCTTCGATTCTCGGCATATTGTCGATAAATTGTTTTTTCTCGTTCCGGGTAAGGTGTGGAATCTGGCTTTTGCCACTTTTCTTAGCCTTTCCAACCGTTTCCCAATGCGGAGACTGCGTTACGCTCGCCATCTTGTTCACAGGATAGTGTACATAAGCGACCCTCAACGTTTAAAAAAGGGAAAAGATGTCGCTGGTATTGTTAAAAATAAAAGATGATATGTACCGTGATGGCCAGCCTTTCGCTGGTTAATATTTGAACACATTCATTTATGAAAATGTCTAAATTTCGGAAAATGTAGGTTTGTATGTAAAATGTCATTTGAACAAACAAGAAGTTACTTAAGGGTTGACGTAACGTCTTTCAAAAGAGTTCCTCTCAGAAACCACGTGTCTGTCATAGGTTTCCGCGCGATATATATTTCCGCGTAGCCATTTTATCACGCTATATCTCGTAACTACTTGACCTGCTGGCCACTACACAAGGGTATTCTAGACATTTGGCCATCGTCTGTAAACTGACACAAAAATTACCGGAAGTCTGGAAAACATAAAACTACTAGATCTATGCAGTTGTGCTTAATACACTTTTTATCTTGCTCAAAATGGACACATACCTGAAAAAGCCCAGTGAATCGTTTCATTCATGAACCGGTCATTTTTGTAGTCTGACAAACGTACGAAAATGTCGTATGCAAATGAGGCCACATCTCCTCGCCAATTTTTTTTCAACTCCCGAAGAGCGAAGGAGACATTCTATAAACACAGTTTGCAATGAAACGTAAACCTTAAGTAGTGCAACGAACTTCCAATTTTCACCAATCTTAAAAAAAATATAATGAGATATAACTTACCACCAACCAAAACCGATATAAGTCTGCACAAAAAAATAAACAACAGATTCTATTATAACTAAATAAGTAAATTTATAAAATTACACGAATTCGTTCAAGTTGACATAATCATGTAGAGCTTAATCCATAAAAATGTCGATTTTTTAAAATTTGTTTAGATAATTAATTTGAGAGAATTTCTTTTTAGTGTATTCAAATAATTTTTCTTTGAATACTAAATCAAAATAGACACATGGAAACATATGACGGCTTCTTCCGATAGGAGAAATTTGTTAAAAAAAATGTTCTGATTTTTTTTAAATACTGTTCTCTGTTGTTAGTTTTTTGTTTCTATTAGTAGATTGTGTACATGTCCATAACAGTCACCCGCAATATCAATCGATATGAGTACGAAATCGCTTTTTAAGTGCGCGGAAATCAATAACACGATATCATTTATCGTTTTAAATAGTTAATTAATTTTCCATTTGAATTTCACTCACATTGCCATTTTTTTTAATGGCTTGCAGTACGGACTCTTAAGCTATTCATAATTAAATAAATAAAAAAGACAGTCTCTTGTAAGAATATGGCCATGCATATGGATCTTTCAAAAGTTCAAAAAAGTCCTCTAAAAAAAATTGTACAAAAGTGAAGTTTTGATAATTTATCACTGGAATAAGGACTAATGAGAGCAAAGTCGCACCTCTTTACAAATATTCGTATTTTTGGAACGACACAAACTAACCGTAACACTACTAGTCATGGGTTACGCGGTTCACTTACGCTCTCTGAAAGAACGTAAGTGAGCGTAACCCCTGGATATGAAGGATGATAGATTACTACTTGATAAAAAATATGACTAAATAAACGCAGTTTCAATTCGTCAGTTTTATTTTTGTCAATGAAGACGATATTCATGTTGTGTATCAATTTTTGACGCTGCTTTGAGGTAACAATGGGGGAAACGGAATGCATACGTTTGAGAAGAAATGAGAAGTGCATGGCTCTACACCGCAAACGTGGTAGAATTACCTATAATCCATTAATATATATTTGCGTGTTGATATTTTCGCGTAAATTTACTAATTGCGAAAAACGCGAACATTTCTATACCGCAAAAAAATCATTTTAACAGTAAGTCTTTTGTGTATGTTCTACCATTGTGGGTAACCCGCTGTGTCTCGTTCTGTACCTTCACGTAGATAACCATGTTACTGGGGAGTATGTTTGTAAATAACTAGGTTCCATACCGAAATGAATGGTCAATTTTATCTCTTGGGATGTTTTTTTTTGTCAAAGACGGCTCATGATACATGAAACTAAATGTTGGTACCGTGAGAAATTTTAGCTTGAAGCTGGTTTCTTCGTTAGCATGGAATTGTGACGGGGTTCAAATCAAAGACGAAAGGATTTACAATATTTACAGTTTATTTACACAAGTGATGTACATGTCCACATACAACAGGTGCGAGTCTCTAAACACAAACGTATCTAAAACTAACAATGCGAGTCTAAACTATTGTGGGGCAATCATTACACTTCATTCACGTGGACTTCACTCGCATATTCCCACACAACACTAAGCTGATACAAATAATTTGTCCCAAAACTAGAGTCTCCTCAAAAACGTCCGACACTCCAAACATCAAAACCGAAACTGGCCGAAACAAAGCTTTCCTCAAACCTTATCAGCCACATCAAACCTAAACTGTACCGATCTAACTTGCTCGGGACCTCTAACGCACGTGTGCTGTCCAAACTGACCCTTAGTGACTTCAACCAGATGAGGACACTGGACACCACAGCCTCTCTAGCCAATTGCTTACAGATACAATAAATCGGTCAATAATCTTTAAACTCGTTACTCTTACATTCTTTAAATCTCACAACTCTTACGAACGTTTATTGGAAATCATTCGGAAATTTCAGCATGACAGAAAGACCCGAGCAATTTCCGATTGAAACAGTGACATATAAAGCAGAGACGTATATAGATTACATGTAATCAGAGACGTATATACAAATAAAGTCCAATCAGAAATTGCTCGTAATGCTTAAATTATTTAATTATTAAGTTTATATAGAGGATTGGCGCCTAGCTTCCATTTCATAAAACTGTATTATTGTATAAACAATCGTTAATTTTTAAGGGCTTAAGGGCATATACGAACCACGGACTTAGAACATCTAATTCCGTGATACGTCCAGACATGTTAGGAGTGATATTTATTTAATCTTTATTATATTTTTTCAAAAAATATGTTCGAAATGGTTATAATGTTTTCTTAGTGATGCATTGAGTAATTATCCCCCCGAAGGAGTACATTCTTCTTCATTTGTTACTATGTTCAAGACTGCCTGATACAGTTCGAATCGTACGTGAAGCCAAAGACACACTAAAGCAAGTGTAGTAGTATATATATCTGGTGAAGCATTGTCATGCGATTCCTAGATTACAAGTGTCTCTATGTGTCTTAAATGCAAATCAAGTCTTAGTGAATTATTGATTACTGTACATGTCCTAGCTCATATTGAGAAAAAACTCAAGCCTAATTAAAATAATATTTATAAAGTAACACTCGATCGAAGCAGAGACATGTCTCTGATAGAAATGAACTGGAGTACATTTTGTCCATGTGCCCCACTAGCCTTTGTATGCATTAATTCATGCTATATTGTTGTAAACAATCACCCTTTATTGTGATAAATTGTTGTTTGTATTAAAATTAATCGTGATCGATGTATATATAAATATGATGACGTCAAACGAAAATTGTGGCCAAACTTTGTAATCAAAAACGACATTTTATCAGAACATATGTGAGACATTAATTCCACAAGCAAATTAAACTTTGATTATTTTCAATAAAATATTTGAAATGAAAATGATCTCTTGTCTAAATCGCTTCTGGTTTCTTTCGTTCCGGTAAAATCTCCCATTGCGTGCCCCTACTTCATCCAATAAAATTACAGGTAAAGTGACGCTGACGGGTTATGGTGTCAATTCCTAATGCATTTTGTTGCTAATTTCTTACGCATACATGTGATATATACACATGTAAATAGTATATTATCAATAAGATAAGAATGAATAAATGGAAATATTATCTCATTTTGTTATTGAACGAAATAAATATTGAATGATAAAGGCATTATTAGAACGGAAGTGGGAACCGAGTTTTAAACACCTTGTTTGTGATAGGTGAATGTATTTCCGTTTCACCTACATTTGTCATACCTTCAAGGTGTATCCTGTTCCAAGGGTTACCTGTAATATTTTATGGTTTTCCGACGATCTGGAGAGACTTTCGGTCTGTGAAAAAAGTGACATTAGACTTCAAAATGCCCCTCTTTGGTAAGAAGAAGGATAAAACGTTAGTTGAAAACCAACAAACGGCAAGATCGCCCCCAGAACCAAACGAACAACGCCCAAGCAATCAACAACCTGCTCCACCTGAATCAAATGGAACATCGGCACCTCGGAGCCAGCCGGTGGACCCTCCGAGGCCAAAGTTAGTGTTCCATTGTCAGCAGGCTCATGGTAGTCCCACTGGTATCATTTCCGGGTTCACAAATGTCAAGGAACTGTACCAGAAAATAGCAGACGCGTACGATATGGACGTTAGTGATGTGAGTATATAACTACCTAGTTAGCGTAATCTTTCACAGTCTACATCAGTCGTGATCATGAGTTCACGGAGTTTATTTTATGGCTGTTTAAACCCTAGTCTAGATGTAAGTGGTGGAAACGTGTTCTTATATATATGGTACTACCTGTTTGAGATAATTAAGAATCGTTTGATTCTAATTACTCCAGAGGAAAGCAGGAAGTACTGACATTGTGTAAAATTCCATTCATCAAGTCAATACATATCCTGGCTACAAGTACAAAGTAGATGTCATTATATTACCGAACTGTTACATATATAGAAGTTTGGGACCCTTATACTAAAACAGACATAAGCAAAATAGAAATGGTGCAGTGTAGAGCAACCAGATTAGTCGCAAACAAATTTAGAAACACCTCCAGTGTTGGTGACAGCTTCAACATCTTAACTGGCAATCACTTGAAGACAGAAGGAGAGTCATGCGACTGACAACACTACACAAAACTATCCATGACAAAGTCAATATAAGAAAAGACCAACTCATACCTCCATCCCGCCACACAAGACAACGCACACTGGAACTCACATCAAACACTCTCATGTAGAACACAGGTACGACAACAATCCTTTTTCCCTTGTAGACTTGAATAACCTGCCTCCAGATATAACCCCCATTACCTCTTCTGACTGCTTTAAACTGTCCCTAAACAAAAAATAATTCTAACTCCCATACTTTATAAATATTCATTTTCACTATCTTTTATCTGTTCTTCTCTTGGCCTAGCACCCACTATCACATGACATGATCTTCAAATAGATGAAGGTGGTCATTATTATGTAGATGTAGATCAAAGATATAAACAAAATTAAGCCACTACGTATTTGTACTAGATACCAAAACAGTCGATGCTTTCAGTAATAAATGTAACGAAAAGGTAGAAATAAAATAGTTCAGATATACAGTAGACTGGTGTAGTGGAGCTAGACAGGGTCGATTGCTGGTAACACTTGGTATATATGTAGTTCAATTGGTTAGAACGTACATCCACAGTTCAGAGGTCCTGGGTTTGAATCCTGGTCTGGCTGTGCATTTTCCCTCTGCTATGTAATGTTGTCCCTTGGACATATCAAGTAAAATACACAATATCTGGCGCCCGGCCTGAGTTGTGCATCATACCAATATTGTGTAGTTTCCAGAAAAAATGCTGAGTTTTCAGAAAATCAATAATTTGAGAAAAAAATAATTGAATATTCAGTCATAAATTAAAATATTCACGAACCTTAATTACTATTTGTGTGAGATGCTTACAGAATACTCCTAAGAAAAGTATGATTGTCTCTGACTTTGGTGTATATAAGATATACGTTTCTCATGGAACACTTGTGGATACAGGATACATGTATGTGCACTCAGGGACTCTTACTTTGATGAGGTCACAGTCAGATGACCCGTTATGTTATGATGTCACAGAAGAAAAACTTTTTTAAAAGTTTTTTTCACTCCTGAATATCAGCAAGTGACACCACCTCATGGATGCAAGTTATTGCACAAGAAAGTCTTTAAATGAGGTTTATCCTATGTAACGTGTGGGCAGTCACCCATCCGGCCACTGACTTCAATCAACAGCGTTTAACAACTAAATAACAGGTAGTACTCATGATGTGCGGCCATTGTTGTCATCGATGTCGGACAATTTGTACACGTTTCTTTCTTGTAAACATGTGCACGCTCCAGTCAAACATCTTTAGGCCCCGGCCATGTATATCCCAACAGTACATGGAGCGTGGAATGTTACCATCACATTGCTGACAGACACATGGGTGTATTGTCATGATGTTACTGTGATAACAATTTGATTATATAATCACGATCTGGCCACCGATTCCCGATTTATTACTTGATTATACATGTGCCAAAACAGAATTATTTGACCAGGTGGTTGATCAAACTATTAATTCGTAATTGAAGTTTCTATCCACCCTCTGCATTCTGATACATTACAATTGAATTTCCGTCAATACTTGAGAAAACATCTACTGCTTCGCGGCCTACATACTTGTCTCTGCTTTGCGATTGAACGTAATAAAAGATATTTAATATGTAAGTAAATATAAGAAAGATATATATGCCATTTTTCATCTCCAGATTTGCATATATATATATTGCAATAGGCAGTCGTTGTTCCGTACCAACAACTTGATTGTTTACCAAGATTTTTGCTGATGTTGACTCAGATAGTTCAAACTACTCTTCATTTTAGCGGCTATAATTTCGTGTCATTCGAACAGGGTTAAGAACTAAATAACAGGTAGTACTCATGATGTGCGACCATTGTTGTCATCGACTCTATAATCCCACCTAGATACAGTTACATTCGATAGACTCTATAATCCCACACGGGTTGCAGTCAATGACTGTTACAATTATAATGTTGTTATCAGAACATGTTAACATCATTATTATCACACAAACAGAAGTCTGTCAGTACGTCATGTGTTTGATTTGATGTTTTATGTCTTGGAAGTGCAAATCGAGGTACATATATCGATGAAGTCATTTCCCTAAAGGCACTACAACAGCTTTTTTCATACCTCATCCTCATAACAGAGCGTCTCATTGGATGACACTGGCCATATGATGGGACCATAAAACATCATGTCGCTCCACTCTCTCCACGCTTTTCCTTGATCATATATTTTCATTATTTGGAGTCTCTCGAGAAAATTGGCAAAAGCCGCCACGACTTATTTCCGAATGATGGAAGCAGGCATCAAAATGGTGCGTCAACCCGATCATTTCTACTATTGTTTAATTGTTCTTTCTTTCTTATTGTTACGTACGTTCAAGGGGAAATAGGATTCTGCCAATTAGTATGTATGTACATATGGGCGGAATCCTATATCCCCTCTAACTTACGTTACGAGGTATGTACATTGTGCGTATGTTACACTCTTGGTCATCGTTCTAGCGACTTCATTCCTCAATGGAATTTCCTGAAACTCCATACAAGTGTGAAGTATGATAATACCTTGAACAAGTTCATGTTTCGAGTTTCTATGTTGAAGGTCAAGGTCACTGTTACTATTTTTAGAAAAAAAATTGTCATCACTCTAGAGACTTCATTCCTCAACGAAATTTCATGAAACTTCTTACAAGTGTTTGGTATGGCAATATCTTGAACAAGTTCACGTTTCAAGTTACTGATCTTTGAGTTAAAGGTCAAGGTCACTTTTACTAGTTTTAGAAAAAAACCTTTGTCATCGCTCTAGCGACTTCATTTTCTCTTACATATATGTCACAATGTGTGAATGCGAGGGGATAATTTGTATCACTTGTGATGCCTTGTTTATTTTTTGAGGCATTATCAAATATTTATGGTTCTTACTGTGAGGTAACACAAATCTTTGTTTCCCCTCGATTAATCATGTTAAACTTGGGCTTCGCTTTCATGAAACATGGTGAACCTTGGAGAAACAAATTTGTTACATCTTGTCTACTGACAGTAATACCTAATCAGGTGACTGTCAATCATTGTCTAAGGTTTGAATGATAGAATGTATGTAATCGTCAATGACTTCCGTAGGTATTGTTAGATATTGTTAGATAGTTACACTATAAATGTAGAATTAGTATCTCATTGTGTCGGTCGATAAGACTACAGTTAACAGTCTACCATCAACTATTTGCCGAAGATCTCGCCCTTGAGTAAATATTCTGTAGCAGAAGTAATGTCAAAGGTCTTATTAAATACTCAAGATAGTGGAGACATACGATAGGCACAGTGTTTATTACACCATTACATGTGATAAATATACATAACAGTATTATCTGTACAGTATATCCGGACACATGTGAGTGATTCTGTATATACAAACAATAGATATGACATAATCTATCAGTATTTCAACTTAAATTGCTCATTAGCATATAAATACCTTCCAAATCGATTCCTTGGAAGTTGCATGAAATGTTTTTCGAGTGTTCTTTAAAAAAAATGCATGTTAGACAATATTAAAGATTGTCAATTTGGAATGGACATTTATGAAGAACTACAACATATGGCATTTAGTGTGCATGTGATTACCTATGTTAGCAATGTACTATAGTTTAGCTAGCTATATAGGCATAAGGATAATAGGATGACACCATGTGCAAACAGGTATAACTACAAATCATATGTGGTTCTTATGTGAACTTTAGATTTTTAATCCATTTCTTTTAGTTCATATACATTTATTATAATCAAAAGCCACAAAAAACATCATGTTTGTAATGAGGTTTTTATTTTTTGATGATATACCTTTACAGGTATGCTATATATAGTGTTAGTAACATTTTTATCACTAAATCACACATACAGGACGGCCAAACCAGAACTGGGACACTCGTAGAATGACAAAAACAGATTGTCTTGTTTAGTGTGCCTATAGCTATTGAACGTTTTAACATGGTCAGGTTTTAGAGGTTAGGAATGTTGAATAATAAAGCAGAAAGTCAAACACTGTTGAGTGGTCATTGTGTTCTATCGAGTAAACGGCTCGAGGAGATAATACTGACACACTGGGTATATTTGTATCTGTGACAATGCGGGTCACACAATCACAGATAACATCTGTACCTGTATGATGCCTGGACTCGTGTGCATTCCTGTCTCCTTGTTTATATATTGTAACCAACATGAGCTAATAATGGTCACCTATGGAAAAGCTTCTATAAAAAACCACAAAGGGCCATAACTCTGTATGTTGGTATAGTGAAACACAAGGCCTGATTTTGGTATCGGACACTGTGCTTTCCAAAGAGGTACTTGCATACAAAATTTGGCATATGTAGGTGGCCGAGTAATGAGATATGCCCTGGTTAAAGGACAAAGGGTAAACAAAGGACCCTTACACCGTATTTCAGTTCACAACAGAGTCTGAGTACACAAGTATCAGATAGGCTCCCGATGAAGTGACACACTGTCCCCGGGATAATGGAGGGATCCATATACAAATCTATGGTCCATTCTTTTAGTGACAAATTTACAAAAACAGTACCTTAACAAATATCATAGAATGTAAAATGTGTATACATAGGTATGTACATTGTAATTGTGTTAGGCCAAAACAAATGTGTTTCTGCTATCATCCTCTTAAAAAAAAGGGTCGGTAGGTAGGCATTTTCTTTTTATCTTCGAAAATATTTTCACTTTGGTTATATACAAATATAGAGCAGGAGTTCTGTCAATAATATAAAACATTTATATAGCACCCTATATACATGGTTATTTGTAAAATTACTCTAAAGCCCAATAAAAAGTTCAGGCATACACATCTAGGGTAGGTTTAGGGTTAGTGGAAGCACAAGTTTTTTGTTGTTTTATAGAACTTGGTACAGTGTACTTGTCTGAATATGACAGGTTAATAAAATAAATAAGGAACCAGAAATAAATGGCAGCCATTCTTCAACTCTTTATTTGATGTAATAAGGGGAAGTCTGTTTCAGTGTTGAAATTTAAATAAAAGAAGTACAATGAGGCTATAGTCTGTTAAATACTTATTTGATGCAACTCCATCACACAAGTTGAATGAAACATTGGTATAGAATTGTACCTGTCTATATCTGCAAATCTGAGATTTTCTGTCATTTTCCTCGAATGAGATTGCATAAGTTGAGTCATACACCATGATACAGAATAAAGTATATATTTCTGCATGAACCCTGGTTTTGGCTTTGAAAAGGCTTAGGACTGCACCACTTTTGTAGTGTGATACCATGTTTATTAAATCAACAAAATTATTTTGCTTAAAAGTCTGAAATAGCCATGCAGTGTTACGATTGCCAAACTTTGACATATTTTCAACATAAATGCATTTATACGTTTGATAACGTTATAGATGAACAAATTATCAGAAACCTTTGAAATTTTTATGTGGGAGAAAGCGAACAAATAATATCTGAATATAAATACTTACACTGACTCGTGTTTGACAAATAATACCATATTTATCCTGCAATAAGCCAAAGGATCAACACAAAATCTCTGACTGCAAGTAGGGGGCTTATTACAGGATAATGAAAAAGCTTTGTTGGCATTTCTTCTTGCAATATACATTTTGTATATTGATGGGCTTATTGCTGGATAAATAAACTAATCTGTAACGGATACCTGTAGAAATTCTGCTGCTTTCCAAAGTAGGTAATGGTAAAAAATAAGTGTGAAAACAAATTTAGTCTGCCTTTGATATAAATAAACTTGTCAATTAAAAATAATCTGTATATTGTATACCAGGAAATATTCACTTAGTCAAATTTTCACCCTGTGATGGTAAAATCAATTTTCGCCCAATATTAAACTTGCCCTTCACACTTAATAACTATGTATACTATGTTATTTATTAATATTTGTTAAAACAATAAATTTGCCCTAATTACAGAGGGCAAAAAAAGGTGAAAATAAAATTGCAGCGAAAATTTCCCGGTATACAGTATATGCTTACTTCAGAATTTTTCTGACCTTGAACGAAGGGAAAAACTCAACTTGGGTCGAAAACATAATATATACACCCCATTTTATATGCAGTGAGTATTTGTCAGTGCATATCATAGATGAATTCAACAATTAAAATTTGTGAATTACAGTGTGAAGAGGGTGGGAATTAACCGAGACCAAACAATAGGAGGCTTTACAGTTTGATGAAGGCAAAGGATATATTAATGAGATATCAATATTTCTGTTTTGCCAGATTTTATTTTGTACGCTGAACACACACAAGATTGACATGGCGAAGTTGCTGGGCGGTCAGATTGGACTGGACGATTTCATCTTTGCCCACATTAAGGGACGGCCGAAGGAACTGGACGTTACAAAGTCTGAGGATGCCCTGGGCTTGACAATCACAGACAATGGTGCTGGATACGCGTTCATCAAAAGAATTAAGGAAAATAGCATTATGGACACAATGCCTTTAATTGCAGTAGGAGATCATATAGAAAAAATCGACGGAAAGAACTTAATAGGGTGTCGTCATTTTGAGGTGGCGAAAATGTTAAAAGAAATACCAAAAGGGAGCACCTTCACCATTAGGACGGTGGAACCCCTGAAGTCAGGTTTTTGTAAGTATACATGTGCACTGTTGTTGTTTTGAAACATTATTTATATGCGAAATGTTCGCTGCATCTGTCTTTCAGTTTATTCTTGCTTCTTTTAGTCAAACTAGAGCTCGGCAATGTGTAAAGCTGTCCTTTATGCTTATTGACCATACATTGTACATCAATTGAAGGGAACATGGTGTTGGTATAAAAGAGGTCACAATTTTATTCTAACGAATGGAACGATTGGCTCCGTTCTGTACAGAGGGAAATCCCAGTTATAATATTACCGCATATATATAGATGTTTTGTTTTTGTTTTTGTATTGTTTTACGGCCTGTCAACAATTTGAGTCATTTCGGACCTAACAACAAATGTAAAAAATAGACTTTCAACCACATATAGAATAACAGCACTGGTGACTCAATCATGAAAAAATATTTCTGTATTGCCAAATGATATGCTTAAAAGAAACCACCTTTCACTAACAAAAAGGCAGTGACTTTTGGGACACTGATGTTAAGAGTCCTGGGCTTGTTCTTTTATTGTGGGATTCATCAACATTTTGATTCGGGTAAAAAAATTTAAGAAGATGTCACATTTATGATTACCCTACAAATAATATCAGAAGCACTGGAGCTAGCCTGGTCCTGGCTGGTATATATAGTTCCCTTGTATTTTTATGGGTAGCCTGGTCCTTGTATGGGTAGCCTGGTCCTGGCTGGTATATATAGGGCCCTTGTATTTTTATGGGTAGCCTAGTCCTTGTATGGGTAGCCTGGTCCTGGCTGGGATATATAGTGCCCTTGTATTTTTATGAGTAGCCTGGTCCTTGTATGGGTAGCCTGGTCCTCACGCTGGCATATATAGTGCCCTTGTATTTTTATGAGTAGCCTGGTCCTTGTATGGGTAGCCTGGTCCTTGTATGGGTAGAGTGGTCCTTGTATGGGTAGACTGGTCCTGTCTGGGATATATAGTGCCCTTGTATTTTTATGAGTAGCCTGGTCCTTGTATGGGTAGCCTGGTCCTCACGCGGGTATATATAGTGCCCTTGTATTTTTATGGGTAGCCTGGTCCTTGTATGGGTAGACTGGTCCTGTCTGGTATATATAGTGCCCTTGTATTTTTATGGGTAGCCTGGTCCTGGCTGGTATATATAGTGCCCTTTTATTTTTATGGGTAGCCTGTTCCTTGTATGGGTAGCCTGGTCCTTGTATTGGTAGACTGGTCCTTGTATCGGTAGCCTGGTCCTTGTATGGGAAGACTGGTCCTTGCATGGGGAGAGTGAGCCTTGTATGGGGAGAGTGGGCCTTGTATGGGTAGACTGGTCCTGGCTGGCATATATAGTGCCCTTGTATTTTTTTGGGTAGCCTGGTCCTTGTATTGGTAGACTGGTCCTGTCTGGTATATATAATGCCCTTGTATTTTTATGGGTAGACTGGTCCTTGGATGGGTAGACTGGTCCTGGTTTGGGTAGACTGGTCCTGGTATGGGTAGTGCCCTTGTATTTTTATAGGTAGCCTGGTCCTTGTATTGGTAGACTGGTCCTGTCTGGTATATATAATGCCCTTGTATTTTTATGGGTTGCTTGGGGCCTGGTCGTTTATGGGGGAACAACCGGTTTGACTGTTTATAAATGTAACAATTTCAGGTATAAATCCTGGCGGACCTGCAAACGTTTATGCAAGCCTTTGTCAAGGCTCGCCCACAAGCAGCATCAGATTACTAGGTCTGACCTTATTTAATAAACGAACAACTGTAGACCAACCAGTTTAACCGTTTAAACGAAAATGGCCCTGGTCCTCATATGGGTAGACTGGTCCTTGGATGGGTAGACTGGTCCTGGTTTGGGTAGACTGGTCCTTGTACGGGTAGACTGGTCCTTGTACGGGTAGACTGGTCCTTGTATCGGTAGCCTGGTCCTTGTATTGGTAGACTGGTCCTGTCTGGGATATATAGTGCCCTTGTATTTTTGTGGGTAGCCTGGTCCTTGGATGGGTCGGCTGGTCCTCTCTGGTGTATATAGTGCCCTTGTATTTTTATGGGTATCCTGGTTCTTGTATGGGTAGACTGGTTCTTGTATGGGTAGACTGGTACTTGTATGGGTAGACTGGTTCTTGTATGGGTAGACTGGTACTTGTATGGGTAGACTGGTCCTGGCTCGTATATATAGTGCCCTTGTATTTTTATTGGTAGCCTTGTCCTTGTATTGGTAGACTGGTCCTTGTATCGGTAGCCTGGTCCTTGTATTGGTAGACTGGTCCTGTCTGGTATATATAGTGCCCTTTTATTTTTATGGGTAGCCTGTTCCTTGTATGGGTAGACTGATCCTTGTATGGGTAGACTGTTCCTTGTATGGGTAGACTGGTCATTGTATGGGGAGACTGGGCCTTGTATGGGTAAACTGGTCCTTGTATGGGTAAACTGGTCCTTGTATGGGTAGCCTGGTCCTGGCTGGGATATATAGTGCCCTTGTATTTTTGTGGGTAGCCTGGTCCTTGGATGGGTCGGCTGGTCCTCTCTGGTGTATATAGTGCCCTTGTATTTTTGTGGGTAGCCTGGTCCTTGGATGGGTCGGCTGGTCCTCTCTGGTGTATATAGTGCCCTTGTATTTTTTTGGGTAGCCTGGTCCTTGTATTGGTAGACTGGTCCTTGTATCGGTAGCCTGGTCCTTGTATTGGTAGACTGGTCCTGTCTGGTATATATAGTGCCCTTTTATTTTTATGGGTAGCCTGGTCCTGGCTGGGATATATAGTGCCCTTGTATTTTTGTGGGTAGCCTGGTCCTTGGATGGGTCGGCTGGTCCTCTCTGGTGTATATAGTGCCCTTGTATTTTTATAGGTAGCCTGGTCCTTGTATTGGTAGACTGGTCCTTGTATCGGTAGCCTGGTCCTTGTATGGGGAGGCTGGTCCTTGTATGGGTAGACTGGTCCTTGTATGGGTAGACTGGTCCTGGCTGGTATGGTGATCTTGTAATTGTATTTGTATTGGTAGCATCATCCTGGCTTTAATGATGTCTTGCACCGGCCAGGACCAGGTAGCCACCTACCAGTTTATTATACAGTAGCTGGCCACAGAATAAAACTGACCGTTTGTACAGTGTTAAGACTGTTTGGTTTTCCAAGAAGACTTTTCATATTTTGCTTGCTTCTCTAGATCTTATTACTTACTGCCATTTTGTTATTCCATTGAGATGATTTTATTGAGTTGATGATACAATTTGTTTTATGCTGCTGGTTTGGGTAATTTTTTCAGAATTTTGTTTCCTTTCTTTTTCTTTTAACCCATGCATCTTTGTTGCTTTGTTTTGTATCTTAATGTGCAATATGGCATTCTATGTGTGAAGCTTTGTTTAATCATTGTTTGGAGGTATACTTCTTCACGAATGTTCAGTCCACTTAGATTCCTGGTAACGTTGATCATGTGTAACAGTTTGTGCATATTTTTGTTGTTATTTTAACTCGCATATATTAATGACATAAAATAATTGAACGTAGATAATTCAAAAGATAACTTGCATTGTGATACTAGATACGAGAGATAATATAACTTTCATTTGGTGATAAGCCTATATACATGCCTCCACACTTTATATATAGATATTACTACGTATTGATATACTGTACCTAGCTATATACTGTGGTAGTTGGAAGTATAATGGCTGACATTACAATAAATGTAATGTACTAATTAGTAGGTATATTTGTTTATATGTCTGTTTTTACCTGGTCTTGCCTGTTGTTGTTTCCTGAACATTGTATGGTGTACATGTGCTAGTGTGGTACAATACATATAGTACGGTATATATATGGTATATGGTATTTTAAGTGTCGTAAACTAACTGCAGTGAACCAACATTGTTCTTGGGGTCAACTAGTTACCTAATATCACCAACACTCGAGTCTTCCGCATTCCAAGTTCAGTTTATATTGCTATCTGCTGACTGCTGACTCACTGAAAATGAAATCAGATTTTTTTACTGGGACAGTATTATCTGATTATTTGAGGTCAAGAGCATATTATACATTTATGGACATTTGACCTGGTGATTATGATATCACATCATATTTACCAGCACAAAAGCTCATAACTGTTTTATTATATGCTTCAACAATGCAATTTTTGTTTAATCTCCAGACAATAAGAAATGTTTGTAACAAATGAGGCTTCTTTTTTTTAAAACTTTTATCCATGATTTCTCTCACATGATCATTTGAAAACAGAAATAAAGGGATTAGATAAATTTGGTTCATGTTCAGCCTGAAAGAGATCTTTCTGTATGCTCGGTAAATCAGCCAAACATCTATGTTCAGGTAGGCATTACACGTTATCGTGTTTGACGTGTCTGTAATGGATACCAAATTACATAGTTAATTAATTTTGTGTGAATGTATTTATACATTTTGGATGCAATAGATTTATATTTTGATCTTACTCGTTGGAGTGGGTTTAGATTATTACGCATAAGAGTTAGACATGTCGTCCCCTTTGATTCGTGGCTCACACAACCGGGCTCAGATGTGTCAGAAATATCAGTAGGGTTTTATGTATTGAACATGGTACCGAGCTAAACATTTTGGTATTGTTATCGGTGAAGTTGATGCATTGTATTTTGATATTTGATGTTAAGCTATGGCTAGCAATGAAAAAGGAAACTGAGTGTGTTTGTATTGCTCTAATACAGTGGCAACAACGGTTGCCATGGAAACACTTATGGATTAATAAGTTGGATATAGCAAGGAGTATAGGGTGCCTCAGACGTATTACCTGTCGTTAAGTATCTGGTTTCGTACAAGCTTGATAGGTAGTCAATAGGGTACTGCTATTCTGTATGGGCGTTGATTGTGTTGCTACAAAATGAAACAGATTAATTTTTGTACTTTAATTAAACAAAACAACGTATTGCCATGGCAATTATCTGTTAATATATGGTGCTGTAAAATCTTACAGTATCTACATGTATATTTTAGGTTAACACCACCAACAGCTGTGCATGTGCATAAAGCTTAAGATGTTCAAATACA